GTATTGGCATCGATTTCAAACTGGCACCTATCCCAATTGTACCATAAAGCTAAGAATTCTAATGGTGAATTGAAAAGTTAATCTTGCAAAAAACCATTAAACTTTTTGGACCCAGGTCTAATCAATTAAAAACAAAAAATCAAAACTCAATTCGTTCAAAATTGTGACTGAATCGGTTCAGGCCTAGATTGGGTCCGCCCAAATTGCATCCCTAATCCAACCTTGACAAAAGTGGTAGGAGGGTAGGAGCCGCTCAGGTTGCAATTAGTCGGCCAAATCCAATGTATTCCCTAATCTTTTAAATTTCACATTCATCTTGCAAGAAATACCATATGGATAAATTGATTTTGGTCAAAGTTAAGAATGAGTAGTTCTTTGTTGATTCAATCCTCGATGTGTTTATACCAACCTGCTACGAATTAGATTAGTGTTTTGCATAAAAGGATTTCAAGATATATAATTATATTTTGTTATATAACATATTTTTTTTTATTTTATATTATATTATAATGTAGTAACATATTTATTTTAAATATATATATATAGTTTCAGTTTTTATATTAAAAATTAAGACTTAAGGTCAACAAAAGCATTTTTGGGAAAACATGGTGGGACAAGATGCCCAGGGCACCTTGGGAACATGTAGATATCGAAAGGTTACCCAAAAAAAAAAAAAAAGAAAAAAAAAATCAAGATCACTCCAATCAAACATCCAAGTATAAGGTTATGTCATCTAAAAGTCTGCATTTATGTGTTAAAAAATTTTCAAAAAGTCAGCCAGTTTTCTAAAACCAGGACTGGTTCATCAGTTTTCTTCTTCAATCAATTGGATTGACAGTTTTGGCCTTTTTCTTACCCAATTAGTTTTGGGGGCATGACCAAACCAGCTAGAGGCTTGGGCCACAGTTCAACTGGTTTGATCGGCCATTCCAATCCAATTTTCTGAACACTGGTGTGGATCATTTGGTTCCAGTCCACGGCAGAGTGTAAAAAGTGTTATTTTTTCAGTTCAATCCACACTAAGCCATATTGCATTTTGTCACCATGCTCAAATCGTGTGCATCAATCCATGTTAGAGTAGATACAATCATTTTTGTATAGTTTTACAACAAAATTTCTCAGATATTTTTTTTTTCAAAATTTTGTTTAACAAAGTATCCACACCATCCCATCCACAGTATAGAACACATTGATAGAGTGTGGTGTGGTTTTCATCTATGTCCCTGGGGCCAATGAATCGAAACAATCAAACATTTTATTGAGCTACATTACCAATAACCTCTTAGGCTAAGTGTAGAAAAAGTACAAATATAAACATATACAGTGTATATACATACAAAATAATATAAAATAAAAGATGTTGCATTCTACAAATTTGTATTTATATTCCTTCCAAAATAAGCCTTAGTAGCAGCCGTTTTAAGAGCCAATTGTTTGGTTCTTCTATGGGATCATGTATGTGCATATTCTTTTGGGATTTTATTTTTTTACTTGCTGGAAAAGGTAATATTGTGTATGATGTTTATAATTATGATTTTCCATAATTGGCAAGCTGAAAATAAATGTTCTCTTTTCATGTATCAAGTGTAGCCTGTCAGCATAGACCTTACCTAACAATTTAAGATTTTAGGTTGAATGATTCTTTGGAGATGATACGAGAGCTTATTTAACCAAATGGTTTAGTATTCAATCTTCATTGTCTGTATAATTAATTAAAATTTCAATACAAATTATGAGTCAACTTATATTTGCCTATGCTTCAAATCCAATGAGCAGAATAAAAACCTATACAGAAACCTCACCGACCAGCTCAAGCTTTTTAGGTTGAATTGTTTACTTGAGATAGCCCTTCCAAGTTCCAAGATTTGGTAAAGTATCCTTGTATTTTGAATTAAGTTTGGTGGCGTTCAACTAGGTGAGGTGTCAACCTGTTTGATAAAAATCCTTCCTGGTAGTGTTTGCAGGTGACAACCAGTTACGGAACCTTCGTATGATAAAAGATATCTTTCTTGGGGAAATACAAGAAGAGATGCAAGCTGTATCTTGGCACTCGACAGACGACAGTGAAGTTTCTGGCAACCTTTAAGGGCTGCGGATGTAGAGAGTGAATTAGAACTCTATTCCCACAATTAAAGCTTTAAAACTGATCAAGTCATCGTACCTTGGAAGATTCAATTTTGGACGTGAGTAAAACCTTTGGTTGATGAGATTCCGATCGTCCGTGATATAGTCAATGTAGCAGCACAGTGGCCGGGAAAAAGTATTTCTTTTGGGAACTTGTTTGATTAATGATCCTCTTACTTTGTTGGGAAGTCCCAAGTATGTTGATCATCCTCTTCTCTTGTTACCTCAATCCTCCAAATCCAACCAGTGGTTCATGTGTTCATTTCAACCGGGTATAAGTAAACACTTGTTGACATTGGACTTGTGTAAGATGAGATTCAGTTGCAACTTGCAACCAATGTGCTGGTTGCAAGTAGACAAAACACAATTTAATAACACATTCAGCCATTAACACAAGAAGCGAGGGGCATGTATCAGAGAATTGAATTATTTTTTGTTCTCACTTCGTTCTCTGAAAAGATGAATAACAAGTTTTTGGATGGATGACATTGAAATCTCAAATTTTTATATATCGGATCAAGTGAAGTGCCACACACAAACCTTTAAGACAAAGAAACGGAGAGAAAGAGAGAGAGAAGAAAAGAAAAGAAAAGAAAAACGTTCATAGGTGGATGGTTCACAAAGTTGGTCGTGTTGGGCATCCGACCCAGGTGCAGTTTGCAGAGCTCCATTGTCAATTGACTCGCCAACTCTGCCCCACTTCTCTCTCTCTCCAACAACTAACAACCCCTTCATTACATTATATGATATTATCCACTTCCTCCTCAGAAAATAATATTAAGAGAGAAGCACATCCCCAACGCGCCCCCCGAACACGCAAAAGAGAAAATCTGGCTGCAACATACACCAACAAACGATGCTGCATCTGATAGGAAGGTGTCAACAAAAGAGAAAATCTGGCTGCACATCCCCAACATCGCTTGATTCCGTCAGCGATGATCCTGATGGAGTCCTATAAGTCTATAGGCCCCACACTACTGTCGAGTACAATCCTATATTATTGAATTGAGAAAGAAGAAGAGAGGAGGAGAATAGGGCTGTTCATAAGAATGTCCAATCCAATTAAATCGATCAATCCGGACCGATTCAACTCGAGTCGGTCGAGTTTTCATTAGTACCGGTCGGTTTTAGGTCGGACAAATATATAAACTGATATATTAGATCGATTTTCGGTTTTTTTGTGTAAAAACCGAAACCAATCCGACCCGAATCGAACTAGTCTTCTACTAGTTTGGTAGTTCCTAGTTTGAGTAATTTCCTATTTAACTATAACTAGTCTTCTACTAGAACTAGAAGGCCCATTAGACAATTACAATTAGAATAGGCAATCTATCATAGTTTTTAACTTTCTATAATATTTTATACCAAATAGGCAACCTATTAGGCAATTACAATTAAAATTCAATTAGGTGTCCTTTTGTACAGGGGCAAAACCGAAACCAACCCAACCTGACTCAAATCGACCAGGTCGGTTTGGCCTATCAGTGGGTCGGTTTCGGTTTCCACTTCAAATAACCCAACCAGGTCGGGTCGGTTGGGAAAAACCCCAATAAACCGATCCAACCCGACCCGTGAACACCCCTAGAGGAGAAGAAGAAGAAGAAGATGAATAAAAAAACATTGAATTGAACCTTTTTCCATATTTTAGAAAAATTTTGCAATTAGTACCTTGGTCCCCAAAATTTAAAATGCCACAATCCATTATTCCAACTTTTAAAATGTGATAATTCAGAACCCCGATTTTTAAAATGTGTCATTTAGCACCATTACATAACATCATATGCGAATTAAATAATTAGAAAATTCTAAAATTTCCTTTATTGATGTTTCTCAGTCCATTTTATCCTTTCTCTTGAAATAAATAAAAGAAGGGAAAACTTGTCTCCCTGAGATGCTCAATTGCTTCCTCAGCTTACCTGATTAATCAAAAAAATTGCTTCCTCATACGCAGAAAAAGTATGTACCGAATTACATAGAAAATGATAAAATTTTGCATCAAAATCAAATAAAGTCGATAAAACAAACCTTATAATTACATAGAAAATGATAGGAAATTAGCAAAAAAAAAAAAAAAGCCTTGCTTGTCGTCTCCGGCAACAATGGGGAGAATTGGTCCGATATAATTTCCGACCAATTTCAGCTTTTCAGAAGTCATATTCCACTTATCAGCACCAACGGGGAGAGTTGGTCTATTAGGGCATAGAATGGATCCTACTCGCAAAGGAAAGCTATTATCATTGAAGTCATTTCCGTCATTTCAAAAAGTCATCTTCAGTTTTAAAAAAAGTCATCTCATTCAAAAAGACGTCATACATGTTGGATTGTCGCATTTTGAAAATTCAATTACTATATTATCACGTTTTAAAATTTGAAAATAGACCCAAATAAAAAGTACTAATCGAGAATTTTTCATGACAAAAATATCGATGACCAACTTACCACCAAGTAGCAAGTAGCATCAGCAGTTGGAATGTATTCTATATATTCTCCTTCCCTTTCCCTTCAATGATCAAATGATCCCTCATCCCTCCAGGGTCAGGGCCAGGCTCCACCCAAACCCAAAGACCGAGGTCCACTGGACCATTAGTCCAGTCAAAAACTCCCAAATGAAATGCCGTGGCCTGTAAGTCTAAGCCACTTCCAACTGGGCTGGACCCAGGTAATCGATTCCTCCTCTGACAAAGCGCAATTTAATAAAGAGTAATGATCCGGCAATACAGGGCATGCCCCATCACGTGATTATGGCATGTCCTCTACACAATTACCTAGTTGCCCAAACATGATTCTGCATCCTTCACATCCCATTATCTTAACACATGCACATGCACATGCACATGCACATGCCCAGCTCAATAGTCAATAGAGTAAAGAAAAAGGAAGCACACAAACACAGTAATCGAGGTAGAATTATAAGACTCCTTTGGTCAAGATTTCAACACAAGAGGTTAGCTTCTATGATCAGCGTTCTGACTTTTAGAATTTTAATCAGAGAAAGAAAACAGGATACATTAAAAACACGATTCCTTCTCCATTCTCCCCTGTATCTGTTTGATATTAAAACAATAAATAAATAAATAAAAGATTTAACCGTTTTAAGAAGAAAACAGAAAGAGATTAACAACATCCAGATTACAAAGCACTAGAAATTTGTTGTTTAATCTCTCTCTCATTCTCTCTCTCTCTCTCGTTTGTTTGGTTGTTTGTTTCCCCATTTCCCAATTCCTACCCCCTGATCCGATGGATCAAAGGACTACAGTAGAACAAGTAGGGCACCTGATCAGGCCGTTCTCGTTGCAATCCAAGCAAGTCCTGAATCCTCCCTTCTCTGTGTAGCATTTGTGGCTCCCATTACACTGTTCGCAGAGAACAAACCGGTATCCTCCACATTCTTCACAAACTCCGGGCTCAGCCACCGGGAAACCTTCGATGTATTTCTTCAATTCACCCATCTCGTGAAGTTGTCTGACCTCGTCGGCCCCACCAATATATCTACCGCCGATGAAAACCCTAGGTAAAGTCGGCGGCTTCTTGCGACCCAGGATCCTCTGCAACTCCTCCAGGAAGCCGGCGTCCATGGACAGATCTCTCTCGTCGATGGAAACACGAAAGCCTCTCAGTATGGATCTCACGGATCGGCAGTCCTCGAAGGTCTTCCGGACGACGCGGAGGCTTGTGAAGTAGACAATAATGCGTTTATCCGCGCCGGCGAGATGGATGGGCAGCTCTGGTGAAGGGAGTAGCCCATTGGATTGGGGAGGAGGGGGAGTAGTAGTAGTAGTAACAGGAGGAGGAAGGTCGGACAGGGAGGGAAGGGAGGCCCAGGTTCGGAGGATGGAAGTAGAGATCCAGACGCGGTGGAAAACGGAGGCTTTTTTATTTTTAGAGCGAGGATGGTCGGCTTCTTCCTTGCAGAGTTGTTGAATGTCCTTGAATGAAGAGCAGGAGAAATTGGATGAGATATGTGCATGAATCCGACCTGCTCCTGGACCTGGACCTGGTGATCTTCTCCATGGAGGCCACATGAGGGGGGAGAGAGAGAAGAAGAAGAAGAAAGGAAGGGGGAACAGAGAAACAGAAACTGAAACAGGACAGGGAGAGAGATATAAAATGGAGAAGGTTTGTTTGTCTTAGTTTTGTTCACCTTTTTTTGTGGGATTGCTTAAATCGAATGCGAATGTCTTGCCGGTGGGATGGGGAGGAGCTGCAAAAGCGGAAGTTGCAGGTTTTTTTTTTTTTTTTTGAGAATTGGGGGAGCAGCCTTTTTTTAGTGAGTGCGGCTCTCAGACTCCTCTCAGAATAGATGGAGATGGAATGGAAGAAATTGATACGAGAAAGCGAGAGATAGAGAGAGAGAGAGAGATGCAATGAAAATTGAAAATGAGGGCTAAGACCTTAAGGGGGTTTGTTAATTCGGTTAAAAAAGGAGGTGTGCTTTTATTAAAGTTGTTGGAACTTTGGAAGAAGATTTCTGTGTTACTTCGTCTCATTCTCATTGGTAGGTCTGTGTCCTGACTCTTGAGTAGCAATGCATGTGCTGTTGTGCTGTGCCAACTGCCAACTCTAATTTAAAAGATAACACAAGCTGTGTAGACCAGGTAAAACCTTGTCTTCTTTTGATCGATGGCCATGATGTAGCCTGTACAAGCTTCCTATCAATCCTCATAGTTGTTGCCATTTACTGGATCAAGGGTTTCCATTCTTCTTTTCTGCAATTCTGCATTTATAAATAATCACGTTCACATTGACATTAGACAACCACCACCACGGCAATGAATAGCTTTAATTAAATTAAAATAATATTAAAAAAATGCATGCTTCTTCTTCTCATGTATCAGTGTCGTTCTCGTTTGGTATCGGATATCACCCTCCTCTCCATATATTTCACAGAAGGAGGATGAAGATGAATGTGGTACATGGCGCTCATACACATAAGACATGGAGACCAGACCGGGTCCGGGTGTTTATAAATTATATTATAATTAAAAAAGAAAAAGAAAAAGATAAAGAATATTCATTGAAAGCAGAACAGCAAGAGAATCCAAAGTCACTTTTGTGATGATACATCACTATTACCACCCTCTCCGCTCCTCTTAGGTTGGGCTTTGTGCCTTGCGATTTGATGGGGGCAGGGGCGGAGAAGAATGAGAGATGGTGTTTGGGCTCACAACTCACAATTGGTTTGGAACTTTTGACTATTATTATTATGTATTTTTGTTGGATATATGCTATCTGAGTTTCATCAACAATTCAACATCATCCTCTATAAAAATCGAAATTTGATTGCTGTAGCCAATGACCCAAATCCTTACGAATGACAACCCAACATTATCATAAATAAATAAAGATGAGGACAATGAGTAATATATACATGAAAGATATTGGGTCACTGTTTCTTCTTGTGACTCTTCTTACGATTCTTTTATAAATTTTTCAGAGACAGATTACGATATATATATAATATGTAAGACTTGAAACCAATCAACCAGTATCATAAAATTAATAACCAATCAGGTGTGATCTATCAAATTTCGCAGCGGATTGGGGGTTTGATTGCTCAAAACCCCTTCCGGTATCATGTTTAGTTGGCAACGAATTGAAGTTTTCATCATTTCAATAAGGCGGCTATATAATGCAGTTCAACCAGATTAGGCGGATGTATCTTCTCCTTTTCTTTAATTTTTTTTTCAATTTTTGCATTCGTATTCTTCTACACAAAATTAGGGGTGCAAATGAATCTGGTTATGATCCAATCCAATTCTAGATTTAATTTTATTTGGTCAAATTCGGATCACTATTTATCAGATTTTCGGATCGGATTGAGTAATAGAATCCAATCAGAAATCAGATTAGATTCAGATCATCCCTATCTAATCCGAGAAGATCCGATCTAATATATTATATATTTATAAATATAAATATATATATATAATACATATAAATGTTATTTATTTATTTATAAATATTTTTATAAATTTATTATATTATTTATTTTTTTATAAAAATATGTATGTATATGATGAAAATAATTAAAAAATACTTTTATCTTTTGTTTTTCACTTTATTTAAATTAATATATTTTGTTTTTCTTTTAATAATGTATTGATTTTTAAAGACAACAAGTCGGATCAGATCAGATCCGAAGATCCAACTTACCTGACAGGATTCGAATTCAAATAAAGTCCTATCAGATCTTTGGATCGAATCTGACATTAACAATATCGGGTCGAATTCGAATATACTCCGTTTCAAATCCAATCCGACCTATTTACATCCCTAGACAAAATGGTTTGTTTAATTACAAATTAAATCTAATTCACTCCTAAATCAACCTAACCAAATATTCAAATACAGCCATACTTGCCACGAGGAATGGGGTGTATTAACTAATTTCAGTCAAAAACTCAGTTTATTCTGAGAACATATTTGGGCCTACAATTGTATCTCCTGTTATGAACGAGGGAGGGGAGAAGGAGACATCACTACTACAACAAATGTCAAGTGCAACAACATAAACAGAGTTTGTCGCAGTTTTCCTTAGCAAAAGATCATCTTTTATTTATTTATTTACTTACATTTACTTTTTACGGTACGTTGCTTGGTCATTTTAGCGGCTGTTTGGCATCGTTGCTGTTTCCTGAAGCAACGGCGCCACATTAGCGCCATGTCAGAAAAACGGTGCTCCAGGAAACGACCTTTTATTTGGAGACATTTTTTCAAAGAAAATGGTGTTCCAAGTTATACCTCGGAAATCGGGAAGCCATGGCTTGGAGCAACGCCAAACGGCCGTTGCTGCAGCTCATTGCTACAAACAGGGCAATGATGTGGCGCTGATATGGCACTGGATAATTGGTACTGGTGCAGAAAACCTTTTCCTGGAGCATTGATACCAAACAGAAAAAGTGGTTGTTGCTCCAAGAAAAGTCCTACCTGGCAGCAAGGGTTCCAAACAAAAAAAGGCATGCTCCAAGCCACACATCAGCAGCACTGTTTTCTTTAATTAATGAAACTGGCATTTTTAATTAAGTTATGCGTGCACAACGCACATGAATTTCTATCTAAATCTCTTCGTGGTTCATAGGGTAAAATACAAAAACCTCTCCTAAAGTTTCCAACAATCATAAAAATCTCTCCTATAGTTTTAATTTAGCAAAAAAACTCCTCTAGATTTTTAAAGAAATCAACAAAAACCTCCCTTCCATGTCTAAGATGGAAAACACTAAACTGAAGAATCATTTTTTTTCCAAATACTTATTTTAGCCTTTTGCAAATTAGTTTGCATCTATTTTTAATGAAATAATACCCTTGTTGGCATGTTATACTCTTTCCTCTCCCATTGACCTCTTTGCCCCTGAACTCCATTGTCTGAAGAATAGGAACACAGCATTGACTTCACTAATCCAAAACCATTGTTCAACTCTCTCTTCTTCTCCTCCCTCCTCACTGTCCCTACACAACACATCGAACCGCCATTGGAACCACCTCTCTTTGGGGAGGGTTCGGTGTTGTATTCCAACACATGAAATCAATCCAGCTCTCTCTTTTAACCCCAGGAACATGAAATTAATCCAGTCATATTCTAACTGAATAGAACATGGAATCTGATGAATATTTGATTGAGATTTGAGGGACCATACACTGCTATATTGGAAAAGCAGAGGTTTCAAGTTAACTGTCAACTGTCCTGCAAACTGCAATGAAGATTGAAGAATGATCATAACTCATAACATAACATGACCTCTCTCTTTCTCTCTCTCCATTTGGCGTTTGAATCTAACCAACAGTTGTCACCATCGATCTGAGTGCAAACTTGATAGTCTATCTTCTTCTTTAGACGATGCTTGGTTGGGAATGGCGACCACCATGGTTTTGACGATGGTGTTGTATTCGTGGTGGAGATCCGGGCTGTGTGGGGATGGTTTGATGCTGTGTGGGGATGGTTTGATGCTGTGTAGGGACAATGATGAGCGAGGAAAAGAAAAGAGAGAGATAAATAATGGGTTTGGATTGGTGAAATCAATGCTGCATCCCTCCTCTTCGGGCAATGGAGTTCTCTGCTGACATGCGTTAAGTATGATAATGCAGGGACTGGTTCGTTGCTGCTCAAAAACCATGAATCTTGATATGTTCCTTCTTCACAATTCTGGCATGAACGAGGAATGTTGAATGTTGATACATTCTTCTACTGATCACCTTGAAGTTGAATAACTTCACCTAGCTTTGGGTCCTGGACAATATAGTACCATTGCAGCAAAATTCCTTCTTCAGATCCTTGAGTATTTTGAAGTAATTGAATTCCTTCCTTAAGCCTTACACTGTTAAGATTTTTCGACCATTTCTTTGTTGTACACGCACATGCACATACTCCTTGCCCCAATAACCGAGTCCTCAACATTTGCCTTTGTAAAGGGATGGAAGGCTATAGGAATCTGGATGTCGAGTTTAGACATGAACCTTGGATGTTGAGAGTGGAGGACTACAAATGGAGTTTCGAAGGTATGGCCAGTTGAAGAAGAAAGAAGTCGGCGAGAGAGGAAAAGGGGATAACATGCTGACATGCGTAAAATAGGTATTTAGAAAAAAATGATTAATTGATTTAGGCTATGTTTGGTTTAAAGGAAAAAGTAGGGAAAGGTAAGGAAACTTTTACAAATCTTGTATAGGTTTCCTTGCATTTTCCTTCCTTTCCCTACTTTTTCCTTCAAACCAAACACAGCCTTAATGTTTTCCATCTTGGTCATTAACGAAAGGGAGGTTTTTGCCAAATTCTTTAAAAATCTAAGGGAGGTTTTTGCTAAAGTGAAACTATAAGGGAGATTTTTATGATTGTTAGAAACTTCAGGGGAGGTTTTTTGTATTTTACTCTGGTTCATAATTTCTCATCAATAACTAATAAGGTTGTGTTTGGCTGATTTTTCTTTAGGACTTCATTTCGAAAATATAATTTAAGGAAAGTTCCACTTTAGTACCTAGAACTTTGGGGGTAGCGTCAAGTTTGTACCCAGACTTTCAAATGTGTCACTGCAGTACCTAAACCTTCAAAAACTGTCAAGTTGGTCACTGTCATTAACCAACCATCAGTTATCTATTAAAAATGTCAAAACTACCCTTCAAAAGAAGGCACTATTCATTGTCTTCTACCTTGAGACTGAACCGGTTATCTTCAAAGAAAAAGAGAAAAAAAAACATGAAATATGATAGAGAGACAATAAATGAAAGCAAAGAAAAAACTAGACAATAATGTGTTTCAGATCTAAAGGTAGAAAACATAGAAAACAATGACTTCATTAGTCAAGAATCTCAAACACCTCAACCCGTTCAGTCTCAAGGTAGAAGACAATGAACAATGTCTTCTTTTGAATGATAGTTTTGACATTTTCAATAGATAACTGACGGTCAATTAACTATAGGAACAACTTGACATTTTTTGAAAATTTAAATATTATAGTGACACATTTAAAAGTTCACATATTAATTTAACACTACCCTCAAAGTTTAAGGTATTAAAGTGAAATTTTCTCTATAATTTACGTGGAATAGGAAGCATGGAACATTGTGGACTCATCAAGCGGTAAAAAGAAAAAGAAAAACCTTTCGCATGACAAGGATTTGAATTAGAAAATATATATATAAATCCCATCTAGTCACCGACTCGCTGGTATGCTACACTTTTTATTCTTGATGGTATAGAAAAAAGTGTAGGAGATACGGGGCTTGGTTGATATCGACGTACCGTAAGCAAGAGCGGCGCTGTAATGGGATCAGATTGAGTTCGGATTTAAAATATATTTGGATTGGATTTGGATTTAATCCAATTTCGATTTAATTTTTTAATATTAGAAAAATAAAAATTTAATTATTTTCAATTTTATATATAATAAATTAAAATATATATATTTTTTATAATTTTAAATATAATTATATAGCATTTATATGTTAAAACTAATAAATACTATAATATAATTGGATTAAGATTCTAATCAAATGAGGTCAAATCCAAATCTGATCCAATTATTAACCCAATATAGATCATATAACATTTAAGTTCGATCCAATCTAACATCTGAATAATCGAATCAGATGTTAGATAAAGCCTTAAATTTTCAGGTATCATTGTCAGGCTTAAACAAGAGTAGTCATTGGAAAAAGGGCAAATGGACATTGAGCTGGCTTAACCGATATTAAACCCGATACAAATCGCCAAGCCACTCTCAGTCTTAGGCAACCGTGGTCCACGTCCCAGGCCCTTGACAATTTAAAGAATAATCTCGGTATAGTACCTTTGACAAGTTAAAATGAAACATAGAAGTAAAACTAAACCAGGGTTTACACTCTTCCTTTTTGCAATTTAATGCATTTTTACTAACTTACGCACATCTTATAAGTTTAGCACTCTTTATTACACTGGGTTTGGTTTTAAACTTTTAATGGTTATCCTGGCCTGAAATTGACGCAAGGGAAGGGATAGTACTGCAAATAGAATTGGATTTGATTCGGTAAAGGGTATTTCTCTGATTAAAAAATTTGACCAATCTGAATCTAAAAACAATTTATCGGATTTTCAAGATTATGATTCCAATTTAAATTCGAACATCTTATTGGGATAACTAATTTGATTTGAATTATAATAAAAGAAATAATAATATATTATATTTATTTATATAGTATAATAATATATAAATGATATATAATATTTAATAACTAACAAAGTGAATCAAGTCATGGTGGATCAAATTAGGGTATATTTGAATTTTATCCATTAACTAAATAGATCAATTTTTCCAATCTGATTTATTAAGATCAAGGGAGTTATTCGAATCTGGCTCATACCAAATTGAATTCAAATTTGAATCAGATCTAATCTAAATTATTTGCAACCCTAGGGAAGGGCTTTTCTCTTGAGGAATTATGATTAGCCAAACACTTTAACGGTTCAGCGAGCTGTGAAATCAATGATGGAAACTGGATTCAGTCAGTGCAAAGCCCGTTCGAACCCCCATTATAGTTTTTTTGAAAATATCTTCCTATGAAATAAGGCACAAAATTGCGAAAATGTTTCCAGTGGTCTACACTGACTGAAGCCAATCTCCTAATGATGAAGTTTCACGTCAATAATAAATTTATGGGTTCCACGGTAAAAATGCATGCCCCCGTTTATTTAAATTCTGGCATGAAACCTTATCAAGTTATCATTGATGCTAAACTTTGCTTACTTTCAAGCGGCAGCGTCCAATAATTGAGCTGAATTAGCCTAATTTCATGACCCATTTATTAGTCAAGTCAGACTTTTCATGGCACAGTGGACTGGGCTTCAGTCAGTGTAGGATCTGTTCCAACAACTTTTATGGCCTTGCTTTGGGAATATCTCCCATAAAAAAGTAGATAGGTACGTAGATATTTCCATTGCAAGGGTGTAAAGATTGGAGACTGGGTCTGCTCCTCACAGCTGGCGCCTCACGCACATCTTATTATGCATTGGGAACATTTCCCGACTTATTAATTATAATTTACAGGAGATGTTCCCAATGCACAATGGATGTGTCTATGAGATGTCCATTTGTGAGGAATAAATCTCATCACTAAAGATTGTTTGAACGGGCCTTATACTCATTGAGACCGGATCTGTTCCTCACACCTGGGGCCTCATACGCACATCCTATCATGCATTGAAAACATCTTTTATACTTATTAATTATTATCCACGAGAGATATTTTCTATTCCCAATGCACGGTGGGTGTGCCTGTGAGGCGCCCATTTATGAGTAGCAGATCCCGTCACACTGATCAGTGAAGCCGATCTCACAGTCCATGAGCTTTACCACACACAGTATACTAGCGGGAAGCCCGGAATGCATCGCAGTTTATTAAAATAATTTGAGGCAAAAATATTTACTGGTACAATTTGTGTGGGCGCAACCCGAGCCCGACTCAGCTCAAATAAAGGTATTAAAGCTTGAAAAAAAATCTCAGGCCTGCCTAACCTAACTCAGGTTGGACTCTTTTCCACAAACAACACGGAACCATGACTGACAATGAGAGTGTAGTGTAGACACTATCAGACTAGAGAATAAATACGAGAAAAGACGATGAAGAAAATGAAATAATGGATTTGGAAAACCAGGTACTTTACCTTTTTTTCTTCAAAAAATATTTGATTTTTCGTTACAATTTCTATTTTTTCATTAGAATATTTCTTTTTTACATCCGTTTATCTGAAAAAGATGTCATTCGATTGTGCGTTTTCTTTCCCATTGCCTTCCTGTTCACTTGAAGCATGATTACGCATACAGTTTGGTGTTTCCACCATCAAGTTTCAATTTGATCCAATACGAAACTATGCTATGCATGCTTTACCAATTTGGGTAAGTATGTCTGGGCAGTCCGAACCTAAATAATTTCTTCTTTGTGTTTGTCGCTCAACTGTAAGGGCCAATTTTGATTGTTCTCTTACATATTTTGCAACCTCTGCAAAAATCACCTTGGCTATTGTTATTGTTATTGGTATTTTGCTTATATATTTATGTATATCATTTTTGTATGACGTTTCATTTGCTTATTTGTATGAACTGTTCGATTTTTACTTCAATTGGTATTTTGCCCATTGGTTTTGAACGGGAGGTTTATGAGTGTTTCTTGGATGGGCTCTAGCTTAAAAAGGAGATTATAAGATGAGATGCCAAAGAAAAAAATAAAGAAAAAAGAGATGTTGCAGTAACTCGTGTAATGTTACTTGGCATCGGTTGATCTCCAGCAGCAAATTATTTAGGTGAGAACTTTCTTTGAGCAAGTGAAGTGCAGTCCTTTTATTGTTTCATTTTCTTTGGGTTTAGAGATTTCTACTTTCTAACCAGAACATTTGTCCCTCCCTTTTCTTTCAAAACAGATGTTTAGTTATTAACTTTTATTATTCTAAAGTTGTTTTTGAATTTTCTCTTCCAAGTAGCTCCATTTTTTTCTCATTTCCTCGCCCTCCGATGAATTTTTTTTTTTTTTTTTTTTTGTGGGTGCCAACTAGCTGAGTCTTGCCTTCTCAACATGTGGGGCTTCAACTAAATGGTTTTTTAGTCAACTTAGCTCAAGCTCATGAATGTAGGATTCAGCTTGGCTTGTTGGTACTTCTAGAGCTTGAGCTTGGTTGAGAGAGATATTGCACTTTCTGAAGTGGAAAGAATTCCTGTCTAAGGGTGAGGAACTCGTGGAATGTTTTATAATAGCACAATCCAAAATCCACTAAGAACATTGGAACATGGCTTATCTGCTACTGTCTGTTTTCTTTATGGTTTCCTTTTTCAATCTAAATCATCAAATTCAAGAAAGTAATAGATTCCACATTTCTTGTTCTGTCCAGTATTTCTGTTTCCATAGCAATCAAATACAGTCCAGTAGGAAAAATACACTAATACCGTAGAATAATTTATCCATTTTCATTTTTTAAAGCAACAAAACAATCACAAGCACCACAAAATACAAATACCTAAGGCTATGTCTGGTTGCAATGCACATCAGTGCAAATGCTTTGAGTGTATATTCTGGCCTATTTTTGTTTCAAATTTAAATTTATTTTGTTTGGTTGCAGTACAAATGAAGTAAATTGAGACATGAAGCAGAATAAAGTAAAATCCAAAACAAAATTAAATGAGGATTTGCATTTTTTACATTTTCACTTCCATGCATTTGTACTAGTGCAAATAAAATTGAACTGCAACCAAACACAGCCTAAGAGGAGAATGACTCAAACAAATTTCATCATCTCTAACCTGCCCTGGCATCTGTGAGGAGATTAGTAATGTTTGAATGAGCATAATAAGTATCCCTTGCTTTTTTATCAGTAAGTTGGTAATATTTCCGAGATTTCTACTAATCATGAGTTATAGAGTACAAGATCGGTATGGAGAGTAGAAGATTAACTCTCCTTTAAGAAAATTAAACATGAGAGCAAGACCCAGAGGCTGCATGCCCAAAACCAAAAACAGCAGCACCCCTACATCAGGGAATGAGGTCCCCAACACATATCCTTTATATCATCCCATTCCCTAAGTGAATCAGCTAATGAATTTGCTGTTCTTGGAAGTTGGAAACTACATGAATGAGGTATTCAATCTCTCAGCCAAAGATCTTGCCTCCTGGTTAAGTTTTTTAATTCGATGGTTATTGTCCAGATTCATGCATCCACCTAGGAATCCATGACTGTCAAACAATCAATCTTTTTGTTGAGGAGAGAGCCAGATACCACCAATCTGTGATCATTTCATCTGTAGTGAAACTTCTAAATTCCTCCCTTGTCAAAACCATATGGCCATGTACAGGTTTGAGCTCAATTAGTGTTTCTTGGATCTGAACCGTCAACTGTGTTGGAGAAGATTCTAGCATTTCTCCCCTCAGAAACTAACCATAGTATTGCTGCTACAAAAATCTTCCCCTTAAATTTTGGAGGGGAAACAAATAAGGCCAAAGGAAAGCAGGTATTGGGGATTTGGGGGGGTTAATAGTTTATCTGATGGTGGGCCGGTGTGGGCTTTTAGTGGCCCCATAGGGCACTCAGTTATCTCTGAAGCTGAAGTCCGAGCGCCTCTTTGTGGATCTTTGGGCTGCTGATTCTCTTGGCTTTGATTCTGGTGGAAGGTGACTAAAAATGTTATTGGTTGGGTAAGCAGGCTGCAACAAGGCCTGTGGAGATTTGACTTCCTTATTAATGAGATTAGGTAGATTGCTGATAAGTTATTTTTTACTTTTAGATGGATCCCTAGAGAGCTCAATAGCGGTGCAGATAGATTAGCCATATGGATTTTTTGTAATAGTGGGAATTCTATGCCTGTGTAATTTGGGGGGAGGGTTTTCTTTTTGGCTTTGTTCTTGATGTTCTGAGCTTCTTGTATATCTTCTCATGTACATCTTCCCTTTCTTTTTTGAATGAAAGTCACCATTTGTCAAAACAAAGAAGTTACATATATCTTATAAAATTTATTAGTGACTTATGCCCAAAGCCTGGCACAGCCCAGCCGCCCAGGCTATAGGTGCAAGACCCATACAGGCCGATGATCACCCCTAGTCCCACCTAGAGAAAGAAAATAAGCATTCCCAAATAAGTATCCTTGATTGCTCAAAAGGTTCTTTTGCCACTTGGTCTTAATCCTCTCAATATACAATAGGGCTTTGACAAAGAAATCCTTTTTGAGATTCAAAGAATGGCGGAGTTCGTAGAGAAAGATTGTAAAATCCATACATTGCAGTAAAGAGGGTGGTGGTTGTAATGATGTCAAATTTAGTTATGGAGTACAGGTGTGGAAGGACCTCATATGGCTAATGATGAATTCTTAAAATACATCCAGTGATGAGATTTTGGTGAATGTGAAGTTTTGGGGAAGGTATTTTGTATAAGAAGAATTCCTAAAGAAATACATTTCTACCTTTCTCCAATCTACTGGGGGATCTGGTTTAGAGTCCAAGGATTAGTTACCAATCTTCACAATTTCGAGATCCTAAAACATAGTTTCCTCTTCTCTAGGATTAACAGTACACTGATTTTTGAATATATAGAAGATTATGAAGTTTTTATCCAGTAGCAAATGTTAGAGTGTGCTAAGCCCCTAGTGACATTCTTGCAGGAAAACACTCAACAGCAGGTCCTTCTTTGACATGATTATAATTCTTAGGAATTGGGATGATCTGGTAAGGAGGGGTGTTTTAATCACTTTAACAAATTTGTAACTTCTAACTTGTAAGTGGTGGTCTTGGAATCCTATTAGTTTAGTCTTAGAAGAGTTAGGTTTGAAGAGTTGTAATTTTCTGTTTTCTTATTTCTACTAGACTACTATGAGGCAAGGTTTTAAAAACCGATCCGGAAATGACACTGCTTTGGCCATGGGTTTCCAAGCCATCCAGGTCAAAGGGTTCAAACATTTCAACAGTTAAAACACATGTATATCTCATCTTACCCTTGGATTGGAATATTAGGGTAAGATGGATATAAATATTATGAGAAGGGGACTGAGAGTGAGAGTAAGAAGGGGGCTGAGAGAAGGAAAGATAGAAGACTGAGAGAAAGAAAGAAAAAAAAAAAGAAGAAATAAAGAAAGGAGGAGAAGGCAGAAATGAGGGTGACCTGCAACAGTGACAGCGATGATGACAATAAATTTTAGATCTCTCTCTCTCTCTGTGATCTCAGAGATCTGAGATCTCTCAGATCCCTATGTAACCCTTTGAAATTGATCTCTTTCCCTCTATTTTCTTGTTATTTTAATTTTTTGAATATTTTAAATAATTTTTATTAAACTGCGGACTGTTTTCCAGGTTGAACAGTTCAGTGGTTTGTCCTGGTCATTGGTTCACTGACTAATTCAATGGTTTTTTTTTGGCAAAATGATGGTCTGGTACTAAAATGGAACTGGTACCCTAGTGGATTTCCAGGCTGAATGGTCCGACCATGTGGTTCAACGACGGTTTTAAAACCATGCTAGGAGGTGGCTGACCCATATACAAGCCCATATACATAGATGCTACACATGCTTCCAGAAATTGAGGCTTTAGTTGTTCTTGAGGTTTTCTGCTTTGTGCCACTATTATGGTAGTTCCCAAATCTGATACCTTAGAGTGGTTCTTGGTGCCTAGCCAAAAGGGGGAAAAAATCTCAGAGCCCTCAACTCTCTTTCCCCTACATTCTCTTCAAGAATTTTGCAACAGCTATTTGTTAGACACCAGAAAACCTAGAGAAAGCTATTTTTAGCTTCAATAAAAGGACTGACACTGATTCTATTTAAGTGCCTATGCTAGTGAACTCAAAATCCAACCCTCTCCCACTTTCTCAAGGTAGAGAATCTCTCACTCTATATAGCCCCACCTAGAACCTGATTAAACCTTGGTTTGATCCTGCCATCCCCCTTAATTACCTCCACAATCAATTCTCTTAAAATAAGTCTCCTAAAATTCCACAAAAGACACTGGTTTATAGATATTCTTTCTATATAAGATTCAGCTCAAGAAGTCCCGAACTAACGAAGCTGCCTCCTCTATCTTGCCATTCTAGTCCATCCTATCATGTTTCATTGAAAAATTTCTTTCCAAACTCCTTTACTTGATTTTTCTTGGCTTGTCATCCAGGAGATTTCTACCTGAAATAATCTCCCTATACCTAATTGCCCAGCCATATATTAAAACCCTAAATCCACCTTCTATTAACTTATTTTTAATCCCATAATGTTAAATCTTAGACCTAAAGTTGAGAAAGATGTCATTACTATTTAGTTTTGTAGCCATTGATCATACCAGTCTTGCATTGCACCATATCAGAAATATAAAATCCACCTGGAGCCAAGGAATCTGAGGGCAAGAGCTAACAACCCAATTCACTAGAGGGTGAGAGGGGTACCTGATATGGAATCCACACAAGGACTGTGGGCTACTACTGCCCATAATGATCAAACACTTAACCTCTCAGTCTATAATGATCAAACACTACCTGACAAGAGAGAACCTCTCCCTCGGCTGCAAGGTGCAGTACTGCACTCTCTACTCACATGGATCCTAGGAATTAAAACATTTTGCAAACATTTTGAAACCATAATATATATATGTATATCTCTATATAAATATATTTTGCAAAAACAAATTTCAACAGTTGAAATCAATTGGCGGCAGTTTAGGTTTCCATCAGAGAGAGTGTATTCTCGATCATTCACTTTGTCCGACAAAGGGGCTAATCCTGTCACTATGATCACCCACTCAGATGAATTCTTGGACTGTCTCAACATACTCAAGTTTTGACCCCCTCTAAGGATCTCACTGATTGTCACATCAAAGATAGCCCAATCCGACACCTAGTGCAATATCATAATCGAGTCTAGGGGTCAGGTGTAACATTCTAGTTTTGCCCATTTATCTCTAAGGTCTAGGGCAATACTGGAATTTTGGTCCGGTTCAGGGTTTCAAGAAAACCCACACTGCATGTACCTCAGGTTTCACCTTGGCAGCTGAGACAAGCCACCCCAACCAATTTGGCGGTACATCAGTGTCAGTCTTGGCAGGATAAATCTCCTCAGATCTATCCAATGGTTGTGAAGATTCTAAACAAACACGAGTCTCATATGTGTCCAGTTTAAGGGTATTACACAGAAACACACAATAATAACATGAATCAAATATGTATTTTATTCATTTACAATAAATGTCATAATGTACATCATGCTGATTGGAGTTAAGGGCATACACTGTCTAACAAAATGATCCCAAATAGAAACAAGAACCCAAAAAACTATAGAAAACAACTGGTCTTGGTGCATTGTGGCAATAACTGATCAAACAATTCCTCTTCCTCTTTCCTGTTAAACACATCATGCATCTGTCGGGATCTTTAAGCCTTCAGCTGTTGAGGTGACCAACGTATAGCTCCTTGTCAAAGAAAAACAAACACATAAAATCCTCCACTGTGATAAGAGCTACATTTAAAAAGTGAAAGAGTCAAAAAGTGGTAAGTATTATGTTAAATTAATAGTGTTGGGATATATTAGTGACTTTGTTATACCTTTTGGTGCAATTAAGATCGTCTTTCTGACCTGGATTTCTCCTCTTTTTCATGCTAATATACAGGTAACCTTAAACATTCTTTTTATTTGATGAAAAGTGTGTATTTTTGGAACTTTTTTCATTGGATTTCACAGCTGGAAGTGTGATGCCTTCGTCACCTAGGTTCTATGTATAGAAGGTCTTTCCCTGGTGCTGATCATAAGTTGCTTCTTTGATTTTCTCCTAATAGCTTCGTATTGTTCTCTTATTACAAGGCTCAACACCTAACAGCCCATCCTTCAATCGATGAAAGACTTTTGTGTTAGCATATATGTAACAAAAGAAAGGGGTAAGAGGTAACTATCTATTAAAAAAACTCTCTCTACATCATGGTCTCATCATTTGTTAAAACACGGATTGGCATAAAAACCCAAAATCTCTAGTCCTTCAATTCCAACAGTACGGTGGCCCAGAATTAAATAAAAGTTTTAAACTTCTTAAGCCCTTGTTGAGTATCTTATTATTGTTCTCCATTAAATTCCAACAGATTGCAAGTGCTGTTAGATTCCAACATTTGTTTCCTTTATTGCTGAAACCTTAATCAGTCAAGATTAACAAATGATGAGACCATGTGAAATGACCCAGTGCTGTGATAACATTTTCATAAAATGTAGATATACCTTGATGGAGTACTGAAGATGGATCATGGGGCAGCAGACTGATTCTATGAAGTAACTAGAAAAGGCCTACACATTTTTGATATCTCGTCCTCTACATGCAAGTATCAATACTAAGGATTTTATCCAAATAGACAGTCCATGTAAAGAAGAGATATTAGAGAGAACATTTGGACCTCATATTCATTTTCATGAAAAAGCATCACTTTTTTATTTTTTTATTTTTTTATAAACTTCAAATAAGAGTCAGGTAACTTGATTTGACAGTAAAGTTCCATTTGGATCTATGCTAAAACCCTCCTATCATCTCTATTTAGAAAAACCTTGTATTGCTGAAGTCTAGCCAGCCTCCCAATTGACATGTGACAACTTTTAACCATAGGAAGCACATCACTTAAGTGGCTACCAACCCAAAATAGTCACCAACAATACACCATTTGTAAAAGTTTCAATTTCTGAAACAATTTGTTCGCTTCCTTTTGTATTGAAAGTTTCGATTTCTCATTGGGTAGCCATGGTTAAGGAATTCAAAGGGATCAATTCTGGCATTTAGATGTCAGGCTTAGGTGGCAGATTCTTCCTTTCAAAGTTTTGGAACATGAACAGCTACTGAGCAACTTAGTGGTAACTGAGCTAATCCAGGCTAGGAGATTCTTTCAATAAGAGGGTCAAGATTTACTGCTTCAAAAAAAAAAAGGCTCAAGATTCTTCCTTGTGTTAATTTTGTGGCTATTTGGCACCAAAGATTCTTCACTAGCTTATCTAGAGGCTTTTGGGCAGTGTAAGATCTTTCTTGCCTAGTGTAGCCACATGGGTGAAAGCGAGTTATGGTGTTCCTATTAGAGAGGCTTCCTCCTCCTCGAGGGGTCTTTGCTGTCAGTCCCATATTTTTCAAATAAATCCACATCTTGCTTCAATGCTTCCTGGTTGTGGGAAGTTCAAATGAAGTTATCTCAGGTTCTCTTGCCCAACTTGATGTGAATGAGAGTGCTAAAGACTGGCACGACCTTGTTGTATTCCTATTCTTTGTTGAGTTGTTTAGACTTCCTCATGGCAGCACCATTAGTTCCTAAATGGATTCATGAGGCAAATTCAGCTCAAAAACCTTTGCCATGTTTCTCAAGTCCTTTTCTGTGGGCACTTCAGATTGAAAATTTGAAATTTAAGATGGCTAATATAAGTTATGAATTATGATAACTCCAATTAGAGATCGTTTACATAAACTCTTGGAGTGAACAACTAACAATTCTAAGAGGTCCCCTTTTTGATGGATAGTTTAAATGGGTTGTATGACTACCTCACTTGGCACAAATAGGTTGTCCAGAAGAGGCGTAATTGATCCAATGATCCAATTAAGTTATCTTTTCCACACCCACAGATACGAAGGCTTACTACTTGAGCCAAGTAAGTAGCTTCCCTACTCAAACCGCCATATTTCTGCTACATTGAGGAATGAGACGGCCAAATGATACTGTATATCCAAGTAGAGAACCTCCTGGACTGACCACTAATTCAATCCTCCAGTCAGTATCAGCAATTTAATCCAACTTGGTTTACAGTTCTTGGCAAGCAATAGTAACCGTTGAGAGTTTCAATATTTTAATACTGAACTCGTCTAAAAAGAAGGATTTATTCTAGCCGCTCAACAATGATTTTTTGGGGCTGAAATTTGGTCCATTAATAGAGGGTAGAAAGAGGAATAAGTGGGGTCATTTCGAGCTCCAAATCAATTTGCACACCCACCAAGCCTCTCAAAAGCATTTTTTTTTTGACATACAAATGTTCACGTTCCAAGAATGCGTACTGGCTCAACTGGAAGCGAATAATCAAAAGGTAAATTGGAATGGGATCTTTTTAACATAATTCTCATTTCTCATTTCCATCTAGGAGATCCATCACATTATTCTGAATTTCTGATGGGATAATCACCGTTGACCACTATAGTACAAAAGGGATAGTGAATGGTTCAGAGAAGTCTACATGTTGGACGATTGATTGGACAACCCCTTGCATACACCATTTGCCAAGAATAATATTTATGGACCATATTTAGCCTCTATAACAATAGGACTTAAAATTATCCATTTGGGTGCCATTCCAGCAATTATTTCATCATCAGCAACATTACTTCTCAGAAAATGCAGTTAATATTGCAGATGCGACTGTCAATTGTATCTTGCTTAAGTTTAACATGGACAGTCCGTCCATTCAGTAACCGTGAACTGATCCAAAAAGGTAGCAATTTTCGTTCACGTGATCGCTGGAGCCTGGAGGTTCAATACATCCTAGTGATTAAAGTGAAATCTAAGGGTTTTAGATTGTAACCATTAATCTCTTACAATCCTTTGCTTTATTTTTTAGATTGTTCTGAAATCTGAATTGATTCACCATTAATTTGGTATTGTGAAGAGGAGGAAAAACACTGTTGTTCGATGGGCCTGTAGATGCATTTCTTCTCACATGTAGAGGGAAAAATGCATGTTTACTGGAACAACCTTTGTCCTCTGCCTGCATTTGATTCAAGAAAAGTGATTAAAAACAGGAAACGAAACATCCTTGATCCTTCCCTTGTATTAAGCTCCAGGTAAATTTGATTCAGAGGTGAAATAAATAAATAATAAAGTTGTTGTAGTGACTGTTGAAACTGTGGGTGGAAGCTATATACCATGCTTGTTTTGGTGAAAGCCTATGTGATAGGTTGATAGCCAGCGCCAATTCATTCTTTGTTTCTCTCGTGTTCATGTTTGTCTTTTAATACCCTATAGAAAAGATGGCCTCGTGCTATATTTGTTTTCTTCTGAGGATGAGAAAAATGAGAACTGCTGGAAGGTTTTCATTTGGAACGGAGACAAGCTTTCCAAGTATGTTTGCAATCAAGGTTGCATTTAGTTTGCACGTAAAACAAACAAAAAACGAAACAACTTTCTTGAAAATGATATTCAATTAAAAAAACAAATCAACTTACCCATTTTCCTAATACTTATTGGTTCAAAACTTGGAAAACAGACTTAACGAATGAGAACTATACGAGTGTGATGAAATTTGAATCAATAGTATAATCCCTTTGTTTAGAAAATGATCTTAAGGCTGCATTTGGTTGCAGTGTAAATTTATTTGTATTAATACAAATGCATAGGAGTGCAAATGCAAAAAAATGCAAATTCTTGTTTTAATTTTGTTTTGGATTTTACTTTGTTCTGCTTCATTTGTAATTGCAATCAAACAGAATAAGCTAAAATTTGAAACAAAAATAGGTCCAAATTTACACTCAAACCATTTGCACTGCCAAGTAGTAACGCTTGCAACCAAAAGGTTGGGTGCCCTCTACAAGTACTATTCTCTGATTGTATTTGCCCGTGTAGATGGGAAATTGGGAAGTGGATTTGATTGCTAGGTTCACGGGGTGGAATAGTTTTTCATGGAAAGAATAAAGATGTGGGCAAGACACTAAGACCCATGGAATGGTCTGAAATGCAACTGACTGCTGACCTACTCCATGTTCTTCACATAAGGCTGACTATTGAAGGGCTAGGGTCAGTATCCCCCTTAGACATTAAGGTTGATTTTATAGAGCAAACAAGACAGAAAAAAAGGGGATGGCGTATACACCCGTGAGTGGCCAACTTGGACAATTCTGCACTCTTCCTTGTGTAGTACTTGAAAGAAACAAAAAGAAAAACCTCCTCACTCCCATATGGCTGTCTTGTAATACAATTATACGAACATACAGCATCTAGGGCAAAAAACCCTCACACTTCCATATGACTGTCTATTAAGACAATTATACGAACATACAGCATCTGGGGCTGCAAATGGTATCTGTTTGTCTGAATTCAAATTCGAATTCAATCTTTCGAATCCGATTCCGTGAAAGGTGACTCAAATGTGGACCAAACATATCCAATCTTATATGGTTTGATTGGATTTTATTTAGATATATGTTATTATATCTACATAAAATTTGTACTACATCTATGAACAAGTTTCTTTAAATGTTGTGTATTCACCAGAGTGATAGGTTCAAGATTCATAAAAGGTATTTTCAATTTATTTTATTCATGACATATAACATCAAAGTCATATTCAGTTCATTTTATTAATAGTTAATAGAAGGGGAACCATGCAAGTATGAAAAAGGGTAAAAAGATAAAAAAAGGCATTTAGATCTTGAATATATATATATATATATATATATATATATATATATATATATATATATATATATATATATAACTGTATTCCTTTAAATGGCTTAATTTTAGTGATTGGATTTAAAAGTTAAAATGTTTGAACAACTATGTTTACAAATATTGACATTATTCGATGCTATTAAAATATTCTGATTTAGCTTTTATGACTTGGGTGTGAAACCAAGTATTGGCATTATGTAATGTTTTGACCATATTAGTTTGTTATTAGTGACATTTAATATCTAGATAAAATTCATATCCAATCTAAATCCCACGGGCAAGATTTCATTCAAATTTGAATTTAGCCATATCTTTTCTTTTTTCCTTCTTCGTTGTGTTTGCTCCAATTTTTTCCTCAATAAACTTTCACTACGTTTGCTACACCAAAGAGAGACCCTACATCAAAATGGAGACATCAATGAACAATAGTGGGTGGAAGTAATAAATACAGTCCTGATGCATTATTTGTGGGATGATCATTAACAATGAATGCTTTGAACAACGATAATGCACCGCTGATACATTCTATAACAAGGATAGAAGGCTGCCTTGGCTTGGGTACCCAAATGATCATCACTTCATTTCCTCTTATATAAAGTAAATAATGTGAATCATTTCTACAGAAAGGGATAAGATACTATGTACATTCCATATATTATTTTTAATATAAAATCTCAGTCTAAGGTTCAAATCTCTTCTTTCATTCAACAAATCAACTATTTCCTTTGATAGTTTGGTGAAAAAACTAAAATGGGTCAAACCATACTGCAACCATTGCATCCAAATAGACCAGATCACAAGGGTCGAAATCCTTTCAAAGTGCAGTTATGTAGAAAATTAAAGGGGGTTTAGACTGGTTCAAGCAGATGGACCATGAAAGTTGAAACCCTAGCTTTATTGCCCACTCTGATCAGTGACTGTCAATCAACTATCAACTACTAAACTACAGTTCATGGGTTCCATCCTAAGGGATCGATAAAATAATAGTTAAAATGCCAGACCCATGTGGGCAGCTTATTCTGATAAATGACAACTAAATGATGGATTAATTAACCATAACAAGGCCAC